AAAGTGTTCTATCATTGAGTTTCATCTTCAGCCCTTAAACACCTCCAGAAAAAGTGAACTGTGTTGATAGAAACTCCCCACATGTATTGTTGTTAATGGACACAGTAGTAAACAACAAAAAAATCGACTTAGTGTTAAGGACATTAAAGCCTCTTACTTTCCACTTGAAAAAAGCTGAGTGAATTGAGGACCAGTTGTTGGGTCAAGGAAGAAAGATTTATTTTGTAAGCCACCAAACAGAAGACATTGGAATATCATTATGAACACAAGTTGTAAGGTCCTTGTATCTTTAGGCAAAAGAGAAGTGGGGGTATGGGATAGGGAGTGACTTGAATAATTGGTGAAACCTGGTGCTGAGTTGATATAAGTTTTGAAGGGGAGGAAGGAGACAGATTAGACTTTGTGCTCTGTGAGGCAGAGGCTTTGCTAGACAAGCATAAATACAGATGGAGGCTGTGGGGCTGTTTTTGCACTGATTTATGCTAAGGTATCCAGATGTGAGTCTGAATTTTAATTTGTCTAGTGGATATCTTTATGTAAGTTACTCAGCCTTTTGGTAACTTCTTACTTGTGAAATGTGTAAATAAGTTATCAGGAGGGTTAGGTGAGATCAAATATGTTTAGCTCTGTATTTGGCACATAGGAAGTGCTCATTAATACTAGTTTCTGTCCTTTCACTGCCCAGCCTTTCCCTTTGATCTGTGTACACACATAAGTGAATTCCAGAGGACCAGTTGAAGGGTTTAGATGTGAGGTAGGTAAACCAGCAGTAGCTCCAACATCTAGTGTAGAATCTTCTGACTGGGTACTTCCCCTTGGGATGGCCAGATTGTTGGGCCCTTGGCTTCAATAGCTCTATTACCTATTTTTGTTTTTTTTTTGGTCTTTTTGAGACAGGGTCTCCCTATGGTCACTATGTAGACCAGGCTGGCCTTGAACTCACAGAGATCTGCCTGCCTCTCTCTCCTGAGTGCTGGGATTAAAGGCGTGTGCCACCACCCCTGGCTCTATTACCTATTTTAAAAAGGAATTCTTATTGAAGCATATATATATTATATATTATCTATCTATGTATAGCTAGCATGTATCTGTATTCCCATGCCTTATTATTTACTTAAAAAATTCTTATTGAATATTGAACAGTATATGTGACGTTGTATTGTGAGAAAAATGAAACTAGTCCAAATCTATAACCAAGAGACGTGTATGTGTACAGTCCATTTAGGTTGATGTAAATCGTGCCTTTGTTACTGCTTCAGGAAGGCCAGTTTGGGTAGAGAATCTACTGAAGGTCAAAGTCTTTTTTTTTTGTAATGAATACCCTGACTTCTTGTTAGTTTGTTAGAAGAGACTTTATTTTAGGATTAATGATAAATTTATTTATGTTCTTTTTTGGGGATTGAACGGAGGGCCTGATACATTCCAAGCATGTGCTCTGTGACTAAGCCAGCCACCCCCACCAGTGCTGATGACTTTCAGAATTGAGTTATAATTTATCAAAATTTATCATTTTAAAATACGCAATTCAATGGTTTTGGTGTATGCATTATGTGATATAACCATTACCACCATCTCACTTTAGAATATTTCTGGCATCTTCCAAAATCTCTTAACAGTCAGATGCAATTCCCAATCTTTCTGTCCTCTGGCAACCATGAGTCAATTTTCTGTTTATGTGAATTTGCTTATTCTGGATATTTCATTATAATGAGATCAAACTGTCTTTTTGTGCCTGGATTCTTTCACTTAGCATGTTTTCAAAGTTCATCCATGTTGTTACTCATTTCTGTTAAATTGTTGAATAGTATACACTTTCTTGTAGCTGTGAACTATGTTGCTGTGAATAGTGTACACATGTTCTTTATAAAGTCCAGTGATTATCTTAAAATGAGGCTTAGTGCTAGTTGTACTGGGTTGATTGATTTCCTTCCCCTCCCTCCCTCCGTTTTTTTTTTTTTTTTTTTTTAAAGACAAGTCCTCTCTTGTCTACACACTGTGTAGACAAGGCTGGCCTCTGTCTCACAGAGATCCTCCTGCCTCTGCCTCCTGAGTGCATGAATGAAAAGGGTACGCCACCACGACCAGCTCCTGTATTTTTCACAAGATTTATTTTTATTATTTTACATTATGTGTGGGTGTATGTGTATATGAGTGTAGGTTTCCATAGAGGTCAGAGGTATTGGATGCCCCTGGAACTGGAATTAGAGGCAGTTGTAAGCCACCTTATACTGGGAGCTGAACTTAGGAACTCTGCAAGAGCATGACATGCTCCAGCCCCATTTTTCCTGCTTTTCATTTCTGTTGGGGCATTTTGCTCATGACTTTTAGCTTTTATGTTCTCTCCAATGTAATCTTTATTACTTGAGTTTTCCCTTTATTTCTAAATTTCTCTGATTCCTGTCACCTCTTTTGAGATTTCCCTTTATATAAAAAAATTAATTTTTTTGACCCAGGGACTCTGGCCAGGAACTGCCTGTGTAAACCAGGCTGGTGTCCAGGTCACAGAGATCCATCTGCCCCTGCCTCTACAATGCTGGGACTAAAGGCGTGAGTTGCCATGCCCAACACTTGAAATTTTCTAATTTTAACTCATGTTCTTTTTGTCTTATACCTGTTCCTGATTTTTAAAAGTCTTTTGAAGTAATTATATTTTTCATCTTGTTTCATGGGCATATCTTTTTTTCATACTTTTCACTTATTGAATGCCCGTTTCTTTTGCTTATTCTGTGGGAGACAGCTATACCTGCAATTTGAGAATGAGGCAAGGTTCAGGTGAGCTTTTCGAACTTCATAAACGCCTGCCTTGAGTTGTTTTTCTCTGTATGTTAATCCCGGGGGCTTGCTTTCTGAGATTTTTTTCTGACTTTGATTCCTCCTCCAGTTTGGTTGGGTCATCTGCTTCCTTTTTCTTTTTTTCTACGCTGCTCTGCTGTGATGTCATCTGCAGAGGAACCTTAACAGGACAGGTTTGTGAGTTCAAAAGGCTGAACAGTACGTCTGCCACTGTTTTGCTATATATCTTTCAGGTCTCACTGTTGGAATGTGCAGACCCCCCTCCCACTCTCATCTGCTGCTCTCACGTTGGTCTGTAGTAAATATCTGTGTACTCCTTGGGAGTTCTGTCAGATACAACCTTGTTGTTCCCCTGTGTGCGCCTCTATAGACACACCCATGGCTTCTCTGTAGGTTTTATGGCTAATATTCTTTGCCACAAAGTGTTGCTGAGTGGTGGCCCATGATTGGTTGGATTCTCTATCTAGCTGTCTTTTTAAAAACTCATTTATATTAATAAGAAAATTATGCTATAAAAATAAAAAACAAGTCAAGTGTGGTTGCTCACTCATGTAATCCCAGGATGTAGGCAGTAGAAGCAGGAATGTCAGTAGTTGAAGACTATCTGGGCTACATGAGACCCTGTTTTAGATACACACACACATACAGAGCAACCAACCAGCCACCCAACCAACCAACTAACCAACCAGTCACTCCCCCAAAACTAAAAAACAAAACAAAAGCCAGCCAAACAAAGGAGCAATGAAACTTGATTCAGGATACTCACAGCCAGAGGTGATTTGAGAGTCCAGTCTCCTATTGTGTTTTGTGCTAGTCAACTTTATTTTTATCCTTGCATGAACATTTCAAGCTATCAATATTAGTTTTCTATTGTTGTATAACAAGATATCACTATCTTAATGGCTAAAACTGCATATACTTAAAACATTCCTTTATTATTTATTTATTTTTTGAGATGGCATCTCTTCGTATAGCTCTCTTTGTTCCTCTGTGTGGGCCTCTATAGATGACATGATGCTTTCCTGAAACTTGGGAACTTCCTGTCTTAGCCTCCCTAGTGTTAGAATTACAGAGATCTTATCCCACAGCTGGCTATCACACAGTCTGTATGGGTCACTAGTACTGGCACAGTTTGGCTCACTCCTGTCCTTAGGGACTCGAAGACCTGATTCAGCTTTGTTCTCACCCACAGGCAGACTGGGTAGAACCTGCCCCCTTCATTCAGGTCCTTGGCCAAATTTTCCTTGCCACCTATATACTTGAAGGATCTGGCCGTGCACTATTTTGGGTGTTGAGACCACCGTTTTCTCCAAGAAGCTGCTTTGCATTTCCTGCCATGTAGCCCCATCTCTAGTTAATTCATAGCATGACAGTTTGCTTCTATAAGGCTGGCGAGAGGTTGTTAAGGAGTGTGTGTGGGCGCGTGCGTGTGTGTGTGTGTGTGTGTGTGTGTGTGTGTGTACACTGAGGATTGAAGACAGGGTCACTCTGCCACTGAGCTACACTCCTAAGAATCTTATAATCATAACGGTGTCATCCTATCCCCTTTGTCATAGAAGGAATCACAGCTTGTTTATGGTCAAGGGCAAGGTATTATATAAGAAAGAACTAATGGGGTTTAAGATGGGGGGGACCCTCTGTCTAACAATCTGGATGTTGAAGAGACTTCTGAGTTGCAGTCTGTTTAGAACACTCTTCAGATCTGAAGATGTTAGAGGTACCCAAATGCACTGAAAAAAGATTTTTTTTTTCAACTTAGTTTTATTGAAACAACCTTTTCTTTTTTCTTTTTGAGACAGGGTCTCCCTGTAGCCCCAGCTGTCCTGGAACTCCCTATGCAGACCAGGCTGGCCTTGAACTCACAAAGATCCACCTGCCTCTGCCTCCTAAGTGCTGGGATTAAAGGCGTGCGCCACCATGCCTGGCTGAAACAACCTTTTTTTAAAAAATATTTTATTATTTTTATTTATGTGTATGCTTATATTGCCTGCATGTAGGTAAGTGCACCTGTGTCATGCAATGCCCATGGACAGCTCCTAAAAATGGGCATAGTCCCTTATGTTAAGGCAAAAGAGCATTCAGTACATAGGAAAAAAGCCACGTATAAAATGCCAGTGGTGGGTCTCTTTAGGTAGGGGATCGTGGGCAAGTGTTATTTTCTCTTTGTACTCCTGTTTTGTTCCACATCTTCTATAATATGCTGGTATGATTCACCCCCTACCCAAAACACACACACACACACACACACACACACACACACACAGGGAATATTTTTTTTTTCTTCTTTTGAGACAGGGTCTCCCTGTAGCCCAGCCGGCCTGGAACTCAATATGTAGATCAGGCTTGCCTTGAACTCACAAAGATCAGCCTGCCTCTGCTTCTGGAGTGCTAGGATCAAAGGCATTGCCACCACACCTGGCAGGTTGTTACTATTTTTTAAAATTTTTAAGTTATTTTTATTATCTGTTTGTGATGGTGGTGATCAAATCCAGGAGCCTTCTGCATGTTGGTAAGTAGTACCTTGCAGTGCACTGCCCTGCACCTCCAGTCTATCTAAAATTCTGTCACCAGAGGGTGACATAGAGGTCTCTTTGTGCCTGTTGGACCATATGTATACAGACCTATATGTGGAGTTTTGTGTGTATATATTTGTTTTTCCACAAAAAGGAAAATCTTTGCTGGACTGGAGAAGTAGCTTAGTGCTTAACAGCACTTGTTCTTCCAGTGGACCCAAGTTTGAGTTCCAGCACCCATGTTGGGCATCTTACAGCAGTTTGTCACTCCAGCTCCAGGGATATCCATGGGCACCTGCACTCACATGCACATACCTACACATGTACATGACTATAAAGAAGAAATAAATCTTAAAACACCTTTGCTGTGTGCCGATGACCCTTGGACATCAAATACAGAAGAGTCGTCTGTTGTAGGTCCTAACCCTTCTTCCATTCTGAAGGTGCTTTGTTTGGGGGCTAAGTTTTGGGAACATCCTGGTAGGGCTTGACTGAGTGCTAGTCACCCCTCCCCATACTCCCCTAATGGGTGACTGGTCTTGAGCAAGTCATTTAGCTTCTCTGCCTCAGATTAGTTTCCTTCATGGAATCAAGGATAGTAAAGCTGAGGTAGAATAATTGGTCATTCAACTTCCTGAGCCATCAATGGTCTTGTAGAGAGAACTTAGAATTTAGAATCATAGATATAATTTGAGATTTGGTCCTATAACTGTGTTGCTTTTTTCAAGATATTTCTACTCTCTGAGTCTTATTTTTTTCTTTTGAAAAATTGGGCAGTCCTTTCAGTGCAGTGTTTTAGGGACCAGAGTTCTAGATGTACAGTTCTTAACACTGGGCTAAGATGCTCAGATTAGTGACAGAGGTATTTGTCCACCACTGTTAATCAAATTTAGTTATCTAGGTCCCTGGAGAAATTGGATTTTTCTTTCCTTGTCTTGGCTAAAATTCCATCCTGTTTTTCCTGGATCAAATTATTCTTTCAGCTGTATGAATCACTATTTGGTGGGAGCCAGATAGTTCTCAGCACGAGGGTTTTGTTTTGACCCAGTCTGGGTATTTGAATAGCTTTCTTTCTGTTTGGTGGGAGCAGAGGCAGGACAGGTTTGCACCTTTCTCCCTCTTTATTTTGGTCTTTTCGGCATCTTTGTACAGTCAATATCACTAAATGACTATTTAATACATCTTTTCTGCAGACCAAATTACTCTAAATATCAGCTATTCTTTTTTTCTGGGTCTCATTAAGCTTTTCAGAGTTCTAGGACTCAGTGTTAACTGATAGTGGCTGAGTTGTGGATATGTGCTGCGTGCATTCTTTAGAACTTAGGAGACTGTCTAGTTATCTTCCTTTTGTGGAGAGGAAGCATGTTGGAAGAGTTTGAGACCTGCCCAAGGCTTTATACTTGTAAGATGTTTATTGGGTCTGAATTCAGGTCTTCCTGAGTTTAAGCTCAGTATTTCTTAGGATGTTGAATTTTACATATCTAAAGAGGTGTTTATGAGATATTGATACTTTCATTCTTGTTATCTCTCTGTTTAGGGTGTTTACCCAGAGACACCTTAACACTGTGGTAAAGTAACCTAAATTAATTTAGATAGTTAGCTGTGTATGATTTGGAGTATCCACCATAGAAGAGGATTCCAGGGAGTAGACCAGAGTAAATGGCAAATACTCTTCTCTTTCCTTACTCCTTTTTGAAGGAGCTAGATTAAATTATTATATTGTGAAGGGAGATTTTTTTGTATAGATTAGTGAAAATATTTCCAGAGATTGACATTATCAGTAGAATTAATTTTTGTTTTTGTTTACTAATGCACAGATTTGCTAGTGGTAGTGTATTTATTTGGTTGAAGATTTCTGTAGTTTTCTTTCCTAGGAGTTATTCAAATACCAAAAGACATTTCTGAACCATAGATTTGATTGGATCACTAACTTTTGTGTTTTATTTCTTTTGAGTCTTTGAATAAAAGAAATCTGAAATTAAAAGAAGCAAATTGTTATGGGATCTTTCGTTTGGGAGAGCTGTGGCATCTTCAGTAGCAACATTGCATAAAAATCATCTCATTTATTTAGCCTGAATTCTATGTCCTAGAGATAGGCGCTGTATATTCCTTTATCTTTTTAGCTTCAAATACTTTTTTTTTTTTGAGACAGGCTCTCCTTGTAGCCCCAGCTGACCTGGAACTCTCTATGTAGACCAAGCTGGCCTTGAACTCACAGAGATCTGCCAGCCTCTGCCTCCTGAGTGCTGGGATTAAAGGCGTGCACCACCATGCCTGGCTCAAAGACTTTGTAAATAAATAAAAAACAGCATTATTATCATGATCATTATTATTTTGATATTTTGAGACAAGGTCTTATGTATCCCAGGCTGGTCTGAAACTTGCTAAGTTCCTGATCTCCTGCCTCTCTCAGGTGCAAGGATTACAGGTCTATGTGTCCCCAAATCCAGGTGTACATGATAGCCTTTTAAAATTACGTATGTTCCATATAATGATTTAGAAATTAACAAATAGGCTATAGATAAAAGAAAAATCTCAGGATTCAAATATAAAACTTATATTGTTTATTATGTTAACAGAGTTTAGTTCATCTAACCTGTAAATCACAGACATCATCAATAAGGAATTGTATCCTTAAGAAACAGTGGGGTATTTTGAAAAAATTGGAAGACTTACCATGAGTTTAAACACTTCAAGCAATGCCACCACTGAGGATAGCCAAAGGTAAGCCTCCAGTTTCTTCCTTGAGTTGGAAAATGCTTTTGATTGCAAGAAACAGAATTAAGCTGGTGATGGAGCTATTTTAAGAATTCTAATGAGATGATAAAGGAGGTAGAAGCTTCTTGGAATTTGGGCAGCCGTACCTAGAAGCATAGTGTCAGATCTAGAGACTGGGCACTGATGTGTTCCTTTGTTAACTTGGATCACAAAGATCTGTGTGACCTTTCTCCTGTCCGTTGGAGACTTGCTTATTCTCCATTGTTATAAATTCTTTCCTTGTTTACATTTGTTTTGGTCATTGTTCTGTTTTTCCATAACCTCTATGGCTCTACTTGCTTCATTGCTGCGGCTCTCATTCATGGCTTCCGCTTGTGCATTCTTTGAGTTTTGGCTCCCTTTGCTGACTGCTTTTACTAGGAGTGTTAGTGTGCATTTCAAGAAGATGCATCTTTGTTCTTCATCTTTTTCATACCATGCGTTTCCTTTTGCTTTAGGTAAGGTGCTTATGTTTATTGCTTTTACTTCTGGTGGATGGGGTCCAGAATATACAACTGGACCATTTTTAAAGATGTAATTTTTTCCTGTGTGTTTTATACATGTGGTATATATACATGTAATCTTAGCATGCAGGAGGCAAGGTAGGTAGATTTCGGTGAGTTTGAGGTAGGCTGTTCTGTAGAGCAAGTTCCAGATCAGCTAGGACTGATTGCATAGTGAGACCTTGTCTCAACAAACAAAAAACAGCAGGAAAGTAGTGTTTAGAACTTTTTTAGTCACAGAACAGAGTAGCTCTGCTGCATTTAAAAATAGAACGTTTGGAGTTGGAGCCTGTATTTTCTAAGTACACTATTTAAATCCAACAGCCTCTTCTGACCTCCACGGCATTGCGCGACATGGGTGTACTCACATGCAGGCAATACATGCATATACATAAAAATAAAAATAATAAGATAAATTTTTTTTTCGGTCTTTTTGAGACAGGGTCTCCCTGTAGCCCCAGCTGACCTGGAACTCACTATGTAGACCAGGCTGGCCTTGAACTCACAAAGATCCGCCCGCCTCTGCCTCCCGAGTGCTGGGATTAAAGGCGTGCGCCACCATACCTGGCCCTTTATTATTATTTTTTTAATTTTATGTGTATGAGTGTACTGCCTGCATGTTGGTATGTACACCCGTGTCATGCAATGCCTGCAGAGGACAGAAGAGGCCATCGGATCCCCTGAAACTGGAGTTAGGGACAGTTTTTAGCTACCGTGTGGGTGCTGGGATTCAAACCTGGGTCTTCTGCAAGAACAACCAGTATTCTTAACTGCTGAGCCATCTCTCCAGCCCCATTTAAAAAAAATATTTTACACTTGTTATTACTTAATTTTTAAGGGATCCCAGGGCTTATCAGACAGCTTCTGTTAAAACCACCCCCTTCAGTCCCCTTCCATCAGCCAGGATTTGGGTTATGGGGTAAGGATTCTATACATTGTAAAACTTATCAGGGGAAATAGATCCGAGTGCAGGAGCCTGTTCTGCTTCCAAGATCTTTGAAGGAGATGCAGGCTGTCTTTGACCAAAAGGTGCAGACAGTCTGCTTCTCTTGTCTTCCAAGACCAGGGTGCTCATTAACTCAGTTTCTGCATTCTCAGGGGCTTGCAAAATCATGAGGCCTGTTGGAGAGGGGGCTGCTGGAGATCTGAACCCTAACATTACTGAGGGTGAAATGATATGTGGTATAATGGTTTTAATTTGAATTTTCTTTTTAAAAATTTTATCTATCATCTATCTATTTTTGTCTTTTTGAGATAGGGTCTCCTTGTAACCCCAGCTGGCCTGGTACTGGCTATGTAGACCAGGCTGGCCTCGATCTCACAGAGATCTGCCTGCCTCTGCCTCTCCTGAGTGCTAGGATTAAAGGCATGTGCCACCATGCCCAACTTTATTTATTTATTTATTTATTTATTTATTTATTTATTTATTTATTTATTTTTTGCTTTGAAGAATTATTATTTTTTTATCATTTAAAACATTTTTAATAATGACATGATTAGAAGAAGCATTTCACTACAGCTTTAACATATTCAGTAACACACTCCAGAGCAAGAGTACATCTCTTTCACAAGTGTATCATTGAAATCTACCTGATGATTTTACATCCATACTCAGGTACTAAGTAGCCGAGTATAATCGACTGTGACTAGTTATAATCAGATACATAGAGATTAAAGACACATGTGCAAACATGTGTTAGTAGCATTAAAAATTAAGGAACAATATATTCTAAAATGAAATGGAGATCTTTTCTAAAGGTTAAAAAGTCATTCAATTTTATGTCTTACAGGGCTTATACTGAGTTCAGTATTGTATTTATTTTTATTTTACATGTATGAGTGTTTTGCTTGAATGTATGTCAGTGTACCACGTATGTGAAATGCCTGTGGAAGCCAGAAGAGGGCGTTGGATCCCCTGGAACTGGCGTTATGGACAGTTCTTAGGGGCCATGTGGGTGCTGGGAACAGAGCCCAAGTCCTTTGCAAGAGCAGCCAGTGCTCTTAACTGCTGAGCCACTACCTCTGCAGTCCCCAGTGCTCACTCTTAACCACTTAGCTATCTCTGTAGCCAATTGGAATTTTTGTACAATTAATGATGTACATCTTTGCATGTGCCTTTGATCACTCATATGTCTTCCTTGGTGAAATGTCCTTCTGATCTTTTACCCATTTTTTTGAGTTATTTTATTATTATTGAGTTTTAGGAATTCTTTGTATATTCTGGATACAAGTCCTTTATCAAATAATACAAGTATTTTTTCCCATTTAGTGGCTTCACTTTTCATTTTGTTTTTTGGTTTCTTTTTTTGAGGGTGCAGGTTTCTGGCGAACAAATCCCCAGGGCCTTGCATATACTTGACAGGTGCACTACCACTGATACATGCCTGTCTTTCATTTTCTTAGAATATTTTATTATTTTTATGTGTATGAGTGTATTGCCTGCATGTATGTAAGTGCACCTGTGTCATGCAATGCCCATGGAAGTCAGAAGACGGTATTAGATCCCCTGGAACTGGAGTTATGGACGGTTGTTAGCCAATATGTAGGTGCTGGGAATCGAACTTGGGTCCTCTGCAAGAGCAGTCAGTGCTGTTAACTGCTGAGCCATCTCTCCAGCCCCCCTATTTTATTCTTTTAATGCTATTACAGATGAAATTGTTTTTTAAATTTTTATCAAATTTTCATTGCTAATATGTAGTATGCTTAATTTTGCACATTAATTTTTTTTATTTTTGTAACTGCTGAAATTGTTTTTTAATTTCTAGTTTAGTCTTTTCTCTCATTGCGTTTCTTAGGATTCATATCCATTGCAATAGAAAACAAATTTCTGTTTCAGTATGCATCTTCCTCCGTCTGTCTCACTTTTCTTTCCTTCCTGCACCTTTAAGACTGCCAAGAAGATCTTGAATAGAGGTTTTAATAACAGTCATCTTTTCTCTGTTCTCTATGTTAGCGAAATCTTTAAGGTTCAAACCATCATGTGCTATTAACTTAGCTATAGGTTGTTTGTATATGTTCTTTATCAAGTATGGATATTTGGAACCTGGTTCAGGCCTGGCTCAGGCCTGTGATTCCAGCTGCTTGGGAGGCTGAGGAAGGATGATGACAAGATCAAGACCTACTTGGTCTACAGAGTGAGTTAAGGCCAGCCTGGGCAGCTTAGTGAGACTGTGTTACAAAATGAGAAATAAAAAGAAAGCTTGGATATAGCTCAGTGGTAAAGTGCTTGCCTAGCATGTGTGAAGCTCTAGGTTCAATTCCTAATATTGCAAAAAACCAGAAAACAGTATGGATATTTCCTTCTACCTAGTTTATGGGTAATTAAAAAACAAATCAAGAACAGTTGCTGTCTCTTTTTTCTGAGTCTGTAGAGGTGGTCACATAGTTTTGTCCTTTGTTTTATTAAAATGGTGCATTATATCAATTGACTTTTTGACATTATACCAGTCTTTCATTTTTGGAATAAATTCTACTTGGCTATGTTATAAAATAATTTTTAGATGTTGTTGGATTTGGTTGATGTTGTTTTACCAGTGTTTTGTTGATGATTTTTGCATTTGTGCTCATGAGATATCTAGTCCGTAGTTTTCCCTTCTTTGTGGTGTTTTTGCCTGTTTTGGTATCAGGGTTAATGCTGGACTCATAAAATGGTTTGGTTCCTCTTCCTGCAGTGTTCCTTATCCTGTAATGTGAGATAGGTATTATTTCTTCATTACATGTTTGGTGGAATTTACTGAGGCTGTTTGAGCTGGATCTTTTTTGTGCTTACAATTTTGAAGTAGGGCTGGAGAGATGGCTCAGCAGTTAAAGACACTGGCTGTTCTTGCAGAAGACCTGGGTTCGAATCCCAGCACCCACATGGCAGCTAACAACTGTCCATAACTCCAGGCCCAGGGGATCCAACAGCCTCTTCTGACATCCGCGGGCATTGCAGGACATAGGTGCACTTACCTACATGCAGGCAATACACGCATACACATAAAATAAAAATAATAAAATTTAAAAAAGATTTTAAAGTGATAATTCAATAACCTCTGTTATAAATTAATTCATACTATCCCATTTGAATTAGTTTCAGTAATTTGTATTTTTTAGAAGTTTGTCCATTTGTTCTAAATTATATAATTTGCTGGCATAAAATTAATTATTCGTGATATTTTCTTACAGTTCCTCTTGATGGTAGTGCTGTTTCTTTCATTCTTTAACTTTATAACGTGAGTTTCTTCTCTGTTTTTACCTCTGTTCATCTAGCAAAATGTTTATTATCTTTTCAAAAAATCAAATATTGACTTCACTGATTTTATCTGTTCTGTTTTAGTGTATACTTAAAGTTGTATATACACATTGTTTAATCCAATTTTTCCAATGCTTGCTGCTGTTAGGAAAAACAGTAGTCGTAATTTCTTTGAGACAAATCACTTTCTTGATTCCAGAAACAGTCATATTTAGCTCTCTGAGATAATTTTCTTTTTCATCTGAATGGTTTGAAATTTTCTCCTGTTACTATTTGATTTTTCAGTTTTAATCATTGTCTCTTGACTTTTCACACTGATAATCATAATTTAGTCCCATTCCTTCTGCTCCTTTCTATTTTTCCACATGTACTAATATATTCCTGGCTAAATTTGTTATTCAGTCTTTATATTGTTATAATCCTGACAGTGTTCATGATTAGCAATATGTAGTATAATGGTCCATTGGGAGGCTGAGCATCAACAGTGACCTGCAGCTCAGCCAGACCCATGATCATCAAGGTAACAGCTGATAGCTTGTGGTACACTGTGTTCTAAGCTATGGTACTTGGTAGGTTAGCTGCTTTCCCCACTGCTTGCTCTGATTTCAACTCTCTTAGCTCAATCATCTCCCAGCTTGCCACCTTCCAGTGTTTTACTGCTGTTATTTCATCTTTCCATCTTGTGATTTCTACCTCTGAAGTTCTCTTTATCGTTACTTTAATGAGGTTTTTTGTTTTCTTTGTTTTGTTTTGGGTAGGGCAGAGTATAGTGCTTTAGTTTGCTATTTTAAAGCAAAAATATGTTCTCATTTATTCTTTAGTAATGTATATACATTTATAGTAATTAAAATGTGTTATTAAAAATAGAGAAGTCACTCTTTGCCAAAGCATGTGACATGATTAGATGGTTTACATACCAATCTTGAACAATGTAGTATATTTTCAGTGGACAGTATTTTGTTGCTAGTAAAATACTACTTTGCATTTCTCCTGAAGATTGGCCATGGACATCATTTACTAGATTGTGAATTTCTTTATCATATTCCGTATGGCTTTTTTTTGTTGTTGTTCTAAATGTAAGCTTTCAGAAGTATCAGAAATGCTGTAAAATATATTTTGAGAATTGTCTTTTATTATCACATTGTTTTGTAGGTCAAAAAATGTCTCATTGGATGTAAAACAAATCCTTAAAAATGAAACAGAGTCAGATATTGCTGCTGATCTCAGAAAGAAACTCCATCGGGCTAAGAAAGAAAAATTAGAAATGACAACTAGGCACAACGCAGAGGTAGAATTTATTTTCCTCCCAAGTAATGTTAAAAGTTGACTTTAAGTTCTTGTTGTTGTTTTTTGTCTTTTTTTGACAGGGTCTCCTTCGTCCCAGCCTACCTGGAACGCACTATGTAGACCAGGCTGGCCTCAAGCTCACAGAGATCTGCCTGCCTCTGCCTCCTGAGGGCTGGGATTAAAGTTGAGCCACCAGGCCTGGGGTGAGTTTTAGTTTTTAGTTTCATTTCATATTTGAAACTACATTTAACCTTTACCACTATTCTATTCTTATACTTAAAAGCAAAATGTAATAAAGAAAACACTTTTTATACAACAAAATTATATAGGAATGTTATATTATTCATATGTTGTCTTAGATGTATTTTAATTAATTTAAAAATAGCTACATTTTATTTATTTTTTATGTTTGCATATGTGTGTATATTGGGAGGGTACAATGGTGCCTTGACACTTGTGTGGAGGTCTTAAGACAACATTGGAGAGTTGGTTCTCTCCTTCCACCTATGGGTACCAAGGATGAAACTCAGGACACCAGGCATGGCAGTAGGCACCTTTAACTGCTAAACCTTGCAAGCCAGATATATAAATTACCTGTGGAGACCAGAAAATGGAGTCACATTCCCTGGAACTGGAGAGTCGTGAGCCGTCATGTGGGTGCTGTGAACAAAACCTGGGCCCTCTGCAAGAGCAGCAAGTGTTCTTAACTGCTGAGAAATCTCTTCAGACCATGCCAGCCATTTTAATTATTAGGTTTGATTTAACCAAAAGTATAATTGATGAATGTGTTTGATGACTAAGGAAGTTATAAATTATGTTTGTCTGCCCTGGGGCAATAAGATATAATTCTTTTAAAGTCATCATAAAGATTTTCTGGTTTTGACTTATGTTTTTAAAGCCCTGAGATTTTCATCTTGTTTTTTAAAAAATATTTTATTATTTTTATTTTATGTGTATGAGTGTATTGCCTGCCATATGGTTGCTGGGAATTGAATCTGGGTCCTTTGCAAGAGCAGCTAGTGCTCTTCACTGATAAGCCATCTCTCCAGCCCCTTCATTTTGTTTTTAAATATTGCTTGTTATCTAAATTTCTGCCCCTTAAAATCTTAATGGTAAATGATATTTGCATAATGCAAATGAATCTGAAGCAAACATTGGGGTTGCCTTAAACTTGTTGCCTCTCATGCTGGGTGTGGTGGCACACGTCTTTACTTCCAGCACTTGGGAGGCAGAGGCAGGCAGATCTCTGTGAGTTCAAGGCCAGCCTGGTCTACGTAGTGAGTTCCAGGACAGCTGGGGCTACAGGGAGACCCTGTCTCAAAAAGACAAAAAAAAAAAAAACCCAACAAAAACAAAAAAACTTGTTGCCTCTTGCCTGTTGCCTCTTGCCTGCTTCCCCCTGGAGCTGAGAACTGAACTCAGGGCCTTGTCCTAGTTAGTAAATTGATTTATCACTGCACTAAATCCCTAACCCCAATATTAAACTTGTAATTAATGTAGTTCTGTGATTCTTTTAAAAAATAAATATTTATTTTGTTTTTGCTTTTGTTTTTGTTTTTTGAGGCAGGTGTAATAGGGCACTTTCTTGACCATAGCTACGCCATGTTAAAGTGTAGGCTGACTCTAGTTTCTGAAATTATCAGGCAGTTAGCCCAAGGTATGGGAACACATGCCAGCTGGACCCTGGTTGTCTTGGGAACATATCAGAGCATCCTACAGTGCTCCTGCTAATTGCTGATTTATGGCTTCTGTAGGTTATGCTTGGCTTGCTTCTGCAAAATAACAATTGTTGATAAATAGAATAGAAATTATTAAGGAGACTCTCTACCTATATGCTTGGGAGCTTAAACTTTTCACTCCTGGTTATAGTTTCTGTATATAAAAAGTATCCCACAACTTTTAGAGGTTCCTAAGATACAATTGCTGTATAACAAAACCACCCTAGAGGGAACTTTGTGACTGGTAGAGACAAAGTAGAATGACAGTAAGATTTCTCCAGATTCACCTGTGTGTTTGTCTGTTCGTGGTATTTGTGGATCCCAGACTATAACAGGTTCTCCATGTAGCCCCAGCAGACTTGGAACTCACAGCGTAGACCAGACTGGACTTGAACTCACAGAGATGCTTCTGCCGCCGCCTCCCAGGTGCTGGGGTTAAAGGCATGTGCCACTAAGCCCGGCTACAATTTTAATTTTTATTTATGTGTATGTCTGTGAGGCTGTGTGAGTGTATGCCACATGTATGTGGGTGCCTGTGGAAGCCACCTGAGATGGGTGTTACCAGTCTTAACTACTGAGTCATCCCTTCAGCGCCCATTTGCTTTCTTGATTATGTTTAGGAACTTGAAACAGGAGAAAATGAATGTTTAAAATATTTTATTTATAAAAAACCTCAAAATATTTTATTTTTATTTTATGTGTATGAGTGTATTGCCTGCATGTATGTAAGTGTACCCCTGTTGTGCAATCACATGGGGATAAGAAGAGGGTGTTGGATTCCCTGGAGCTGGAGTTACAGACAGTTGTTAGCCTTCATGTGGGTGCTGGGAATCAAACCAGGGTCCTGTGGAAGAGCAGCCAGTGCTTGTAACCACTGAGCCATCTCTCCAGACCCAGAAAATGAATTATTTTTTTCAATTTTTTTTTTCGGTCTTTTTGAGACAGGGTCTCTGTCTAGCCCCAGTTGGCCTGAACTTGCTACATAGACCGAGCTGGCCTTGAACTCACAGAGATCTACCTGCCTCTGCCTCACGGAGATGCACTACCATGCCCAGCCAGAAAATGAATTTTTAAATGTTTACTTTTTGCTTTTTAGGTATAATTTTCCGATTAAAATATGTCATTTTTCTTTAAGAAGTTAGTGTAGTAATTTTTTGTTTTGTTTTGTTTTTTGTTTTCTCTAATGGAATCTCTATACTAAGAAACTTAATGAGTGGTTTGGTAAGCTAGTGCTACCTTTTGGATGCTTCAGAAAATATATGTTTATACTATTTTTTTTGAAGCAGGGTCTCCCTGTAGCCCCAGCTGTCCTGGAACTCACTATGTGGACCAGGCTGGACTTGAACTCACAGAGATCCACCTGCCTCTGCCTTCCAAGTGCTGGGACTACAGGCGTGCACCACCATGCCCGGTTATGTTTTGTTTTTTTGAAAAAGAATCTCCTATAGCCCCAGCTGGTTTGAAACTTGCTATGTAGACCAAGCTGGCTTTGATCTCATATAAATCCATCTGCCTTTGCCTCTCAAGTGCTAGGGTTAAAGGCATGAGCCACTACACTCAATCCAACATTCTTTTTTAATATTTAAAAAAATTAAAAATTATTTTTATGTGTATGAGTACTTTGCCTGCTTGTATATAAGTGCAGCTGTGTCATGCATTTCCCACAATTGTTGTGGAGCACCCCTATTTCTTCCCACATTTTGTGTTGAATTTTGCTCCACCTCTTCTTATTTCCATGTGCATTGCACAACAGGGGTGCACTTACATACATGAAGGCAATCCATACACATAAAATAAAAATAATAGGTATATATATTTTTTAATAAATAATGGTTGTTAGTCACTATGTGGGTGCTGGGAACTGAACCCAGTCCTCTGGAAGAGCAACTAGTGCTCTTAACTGTTGAGCCATCTCTCCAGCCCCAGATTATACATTCTTATAAATATTATGGAGTAAGGTTTCTCTGAGAAATTTAAATGTTTGAGTATGTAATTTCAGCATCTTGGAGACAGGTTTTAATGTTAGTTCATGAGCTCAGGAATCTGTTTTTAGCTGTCAAGCTATGAGAGCCAGATCGCCAGGCTACGGTCTGAAGTGGAAAAAGGAGAAGCAGTGCGACAAAGTCTGGAGTATGATCTAGCTGTTGCTAGAAAGGAAGCTGGTCTGGGAAGACGGGCTGCTGAGGAACGATTAGCGGAGGCACAGAGGATCCAAGAAAAGCTCTGTGGTAAGACTATTTCTGCCCACGTTTAGTGTTGAACTTTGCTCTGTATGTTTGCTCACATGTCCATATAGGATCCGATGTGGTGTTTTGATTGAGTGGCCTTTTTTCTGTGTGTTTGATTTTTTTTGTCCATGTTGGGAATTCACCCCAGGGCTTCCTGCTTTGCAGACAAGCACTCTGCAGCTGCACCACATCTTCAGTCTGATTGAGTTTTTGAGACATTTCTTTTCTTGGGATAAGGGAGGTTCTCATGTATCCCAGATTGGCCTCAAACTTCTTGTGTAGGTGAAGATGACCTTGAGCTTCTACTTCCCTTGCCCCCACCACCCATGTGCTGGGATTATAGATAATGTTCCACTACACCTGATTTATGCAGTGCTGTGGATCGAACCCAGGGCTTTGTGCATACTGGAAGGCACTCTACCAACTGAGCTACATTCCTAACTCTATTAATTTTTTTTTTTTTTTTCTTTTTGCGGCCCTGAGAAGGGCCTTTGGGTCAAAAAACTAAAAAAAAAAAAAAAAAAAAAAAAAAACAAACTAACAGCTATCTTAGCCTAGCAGACTAGTAAATCAGATATCTTAGCCTCCGAAGCCATACAGCGTGCGGCCCTGGCGCTTGAGTGAGTAGACCATGTCCATGGCTGTGACTGTCTTGCGCTTTTTAAATTTTTATGTTGCTGTGTATATGTAAAATCAATACAAAATTCCATTCACCATTTTTTTACAGTACTTGTGATACAGGAGAGAAAGAACATCCCCTAGGCGGCTCTTAGTCTCATTCGTATAAGAATTTAAGAAGGGATTCATATGGTCGCTTTAGGTCAGTTTTATTAGAATTTAAAGAAAAATCCTCAGGCCAGGCACGCTGGAAATCTCAGCAGCAGCCTTGAAAAGGAGAATGGAGGGAAAAGGAAAGAAAGCCATGAGGCCATGCAAGTTTAGAACCTGCATGGGGGTCAGACACATGGCCAACTGGCAGCCACATGGCAGGGAGAAGGAAGCGTTAGAGAAAAAGTAAAGAAGTACGAGTTGCTGGGGCAGCCCAAAACATGAGGGAAAGCATGCTTAGGAAAATACATGAAGAACAGGAGAGAGGCTGCAGACTTACAGAAAGCCAACATCTGCGGGGGGGCGGTGGGGTGTGTGTGTGTGTAGTGGGGGTGTGTGTGGGTGTGTGTGTGTCCCGAAGCACTGCGCTAGGAAGCCAGATTCCAAGCAGGAAACTTGACTATCTCATTAACACAGCAGGTATCCCGCCCATTTATTTAGAATGACTTAAGGTGAACCTGCCTTCCTAGGAATTGTCCTATGATCAGGTGATTGACCAGTGAAACTAGAAAGGCGGGTCTTCCAACAGGTAAACTAAAGATTTTATTTTTTGACCAGTTAATCTATGGGCTTTTTGCTACTGTAACACTTGTTCCATAAATAATAAGCAGAATCACAAAGGAATTAAGTGTAGATCCATGGTATGTGTACACACACACACACACACACACACACACACACACACTCTAGGCCCCTCCATATCATAATCTGAACCAGAATTTCTAGCTGGAGAATCTGTGTTTGAGAAACACTGCACATGATTTTGTTGATATTTAGGTTTATGGTCCTTGAAAAGAAAAACGTACTGGACATAACCCTTAAAAGCTCTCTGGTATGTAGCACTTAGTTATAAATAAGCCTTTTAAGTATAAATAAATATCCATTAAAAAAAATTCACTTGGGGGACTGGAGAGATGGAGAGATGGCTCAGTGGTTAAGAACACTGGTTGTTCTTGCAGAAGACTGGGGTTTGAATCCCAGCACCCACATGGCAACTAACAGCTGTCTGTAACTCCAGTTCCAGGGGATCTGACAGCCT